AAGTCAACATTAAAAAAAAAAGAATTTTGTAATTAATAATGATATATGTAAAAAAATATGTACATCAATTCGTTATATAAATTGTAATTTGGAAGGTGTACTTGATTAGCAATTGATGACTAATCTGCATATAAACATTGACCGCTGTGGATAGTAAACTATCAATTTATAGTACATAGTAATTGGCTAAAAAATGTCCTGTCCCCAAGAATCTCTGATTAAAAGTGGACGAGAATGCCAATTTATATACTTGTTGCATTTTTAAGACAACTATAATGCCACTTCAGTCTTTACAGTAATTTTCTTTTTAAAATGTACTTTTAATTAGTAAGGCTTAATATTGTCATAGTTGTATTTGGATTAAGACCACTCTTACTAATCCAATAAGAAGTGGATTCTAAAACTATCAAATATTGATTGAGTTAAGCAAAAAATTTGTTTCAATATTTGTCTCGCCTTAGAGGTATATATTTATATATAAAAGTTAAACTCTACGACATATCCATGCATAGGATCACCAGTGAAGGTGATACACGGCTGAAAACACATTTTATATTAATAATTACTTTAAATATGTATATAGTTATCAAAGGTATCAGGCTTATAATTTGATACGCCAAACGCGCGTTTCGTCTACATAAGACTCGTCAGTGACGCTCAGATCAAAATAGTTAGAAAGCCAAACAAGTATAAAATTTAAGAGCATTGAGGACCAAAAATTCCATATGTAAACCAAGCTCTCTGAAGGAAGGTTTTTCCAGGTTGTTCTTATGTCGTGCTGTTGCACCACTGTCGCAGGCTTAGGGGGAGGGGGTTGAACACTCATTCCTTTTGTGCCTGTCCCATGTCAGGAGCCTGTGGTTCACTTGTTGACGTTGGTTCATATCTGTTATATTTGTTTTCCGTAAATTGTTTTGTTTTAAATCAGGCCGGTAGTTTTCTCAATTGAATTGTTTCATATTTTTCAAGTTGGTTCCTTTTATAGTCGACTATACGGTATGGATTTTTCTCATTGATGAAGGCCGTACGGTTGCCTATCATTGCTTACATCCACTTCATTTCTTATTGCATGGCAATCATGCCATATCTCCTTATTTTTAGATATTTTTTTTAACTAAATACGTTTAATATTCTTAGATAATTTAACATGTAAGAATTAGCTTTCAGTACCTGTGGGTACTTTAAGATCGGTACTCTTTGTCTTTCATTACAAAAATGTAATTGTTTTAGGCTTAATTCAATATTGATTAGTTGAACTGTTTCCAACTGAATTTTACAGGTTTTTTTTCTTCTTATATTGTGCTGTTACGCCAGAGTGTTGAGCGCTGGTAAACGCGTTTAATCAGGCAAAATTCTATATTGGCTTTCCCAAGTCAGGCGCTTTCAATTCAGTGGATGTCGTTGGCTACTTTCTGTCATTTTTGGGTTAATTTTACTCTTGTAAAAATGTTTATTGAACTGTTTACATTTTTCAAAGTCAATGCCTTATATACTATAGTATCTGATAATACGGTATGAGTATTTGCTTATTGTTGACGACAGCACGAGCCACTGTAGTCGTAATTCACGCCATTTGGACTCTGTTTGATAGTTGGACGCTCCAAACGGATCCAGGTATATACATGTTGGAGTGTAAGGAATAAATCGAAAAAAGAATGCATGCTAAGCATACTAATGCTTTTGAAGAGAAAATTGAAAATATTTGTTGAACCGGGACAGACTGGTGGACTGAGTGCTTGCAATATGATTGCAGGTACAATATTTTATCAGTGTATGTATCTTAGATGCTAGTGGTAAGGAAGTATGGATCAACACGGGCTAATCTCTACTTGTTAAAAAATATTTTGAATAATAATTGCATGCCTACTGGATATTAATACAATAGCAAGTCACAAGGATAATGGAAGCTGTAAACACCATTTTACAATAAAAACTAAGCTTTTTGATACAAAGAAACAAGGAGAAAAACCAAACAAATTATGCAACAAAACAAGTGTTTCTAGAATAGTAATATATGCACATAAAGCATGAAATATATAAACAGGTTTTTATTAGATATGGGATTGACTGGTAGCAGATTAGCCTCGATTACGGGTTCAATTATTTTGTTGGACCCCCTGATCGAATGATGTTAAGACTGGATTTTTCGGCTTCACCACCAAGCATGATGCATTCACGAGTAAGAGCAGGTGTTGGTTTAATCGAAGAAAGACAAGTGTGTCTTTGTATCGGGTACGCTAATTCACCTAGCATATAAAAATGCGCCTGTAAGTGTTGGTCATGTACAAAAAGGTATAATCATTTATCATTATCATTTCATCATCCTTAATATATATGTTATATTTCCCGCTGGATATAAGACAAGCATCAGTATCATCATCATCATAAGTATTGTAGCTTGAGGCTAAATATTCGTCGTATTTATTATAGCTTGTAAGTATCATAGCTTGAGGCTAAATTCTTATCTGATAGTTTAGCCAATTTATGTCGAGAACTTATTTTACGCATGCATCTCTTTTCTACATAGTTTTTATAAATGTCCAAGTTAAAGCTAATAGAGATCATATAAGTATGTTTATCAAATGATCATGTCTACTCACAATTAAAACAGTTAGAAAGGGATTGACTCGTCCGACTAAAACGAAGCACAAAAACAGCAATTACTAGTATTTCCAAATAAACTCCATGTACCGATCTTAGAGTATATATTCACAGCTACTGAACACTATCTTAAAAACAACTACAACTAATAAATACAGAATAATTATCCAGTCTAGAATATTAATCAATTACATGTATTTCGTACTGTTACACCACTGTATTAGGTAAGTGGGCCCGTTAACATGTTTAACCCCGCCATATTATGTATGGATGTGACTGTCCCAAGTAAGGAGCCTGTAATTCAGTGGTTATCGTTTATTGCTGTGCTTTCGTTATTTTTTTTGTACATTATTTAGGCCGTTAGTTTTATAGTTGTAGTTGTTTTACATTTGTCATTTTGTGGCCTCTTATAGCTGACTATTCGGTATGGGCTTTGCTCATTGTTGAAGGTCGTACGGTGGCCTATAGTTGTTAATTTCTCTGTCATTTGGTCTCTTGTGAAGAGTTGTCGAATTGGCAATCATACTACATCTAATTTTCTTTTTTGTACATATCACAAATTAAGTAAAAAAGTACATAAACACTAGAAAAGCAAGACCTTGTGTCATGTCAAAAGCACAGAGTGTCTGTAGGACCATTAGTGTTCATAACTGTATAGCAGATTATATGTAGTTTTAATTCTATAAAATGTAATGATAATTTATCAGTAAAAGATACATGATTATTTGTCAGTTGAATTAAATATAGCTAAATAAATGGAAATTTATATTAAAAGAAACATCAGAAACGAGAATATGTGTCCATTAGATTACACGCCCGTGTCAAATTTCTGTGTTAAGTGAGCTCTAAAACCAGGGAAAAAATCCAATTCAGTTTGTAGTCTTAAACTTTTAAATCTCGTGCGAGATGTCTAAATTAATGTTCAAACATTGTTGTTTTTAAAACGTATTTATCAAAGTCAAACGACAATCATTTAATTTTTTTTTTGGTGCCATACAATTTGTGATTATAGCCGGATCCAAGATATTTGAAAGAGGGCATAGTTCCCGATAATTGAATTTATACTGCCGAGCGGAGCAACGCGAAAAAAAAATAGACGATTTTATACTAAACATTTGTATAGATAACGTGGAAAACGTGAGATTTTCAAAATTATTTGGCGTTCGAAAGGGGGGAGTACGCCCTCTATCCCTGTATCTGCGAATGCACGTTTAGGTATACATGGACAAAAACCTCGTCCCATGCATTATTATAGTTGAAGACTAAAAAATACTATTTGATAAATGTATCAATGATATAAATTTATGTCAAATTATCCTGAATTGAATAATAAAAAAAAAAATTTAAAGTTAGTCGCGTACACCTTTTACACTCGGGTGTGTTGGAATCTACTTTTTAAACGTTAAAACTTATAAAAACAAAAAAAGAGATAAACTTCTCGCTTCGAATTTCATTATTTTAATATTTTCATGCTAAATTTTTATTTGGTAGTTTTTAAAATTCACAATTTGAGAAGAACTGAAATATGGGTCGAGTGAAATGACAAGAAATGATGGGTGTATTTGATTACAAGTTGATAGCTTAAGTATTCCATAAAATAATTCTGTCAATAAAATCATTCAAAATTTAAAAACAAAATGTTTAAAGATTAAAAAAAGTAGTTGGGATTGATTTTTACATTAAGTCTATATCAGCAAAAAATGTGTGTTCAAAAAGCAAAAAGTGCATGCAGTGTATGCTCCCTTCCGTCATGCTTCAATGCAATAGGACGAAATACGTTGAGTTAGGTCGGTTATGTCGAGTAAAGTCATTTTATTGGAAATCTCTATTTGGACATTCAAACTCCTATGGAAGAAGAACTTACAAACTAATCAAAACTATCAACATAATGCATCAGTGCATACAACAGTTTGAGAAACATGAACCCAAGCTGTGCATCACCATAAACATTTCAAGTAGTCCTCAAGCCGCGCTCGCGCAGGTTTTTTCTAGTAATATTTAAGTCAACGAGAACAAGGTGTATGTATTCGTTGAAACTGGGCTTAGAATTTACTTATAGTAACTGTGAGTACTCGTAGATCGGCACTCTGTGGATTTTGTCATTTTATTATTTGATTTATCGGTTTTGGTTTTATATTGTTGATGGTAGTACAATGGTCTTTATTTTTGACAACTTTGCCCATCGGTCTTTATGGACTTTTTTTTCTCACTGGCACTCATACCACATGTTATTCTTATTAGGAGTACAATCCCACTGACAAATTGACAAACAATGTATGCCGTGTGTGTGTGTGTGGGGGGGGGGGGGGGGGGGGGGGGGGGGGGGGGTGAAGGGGTGTTGGTGCGTGGGTGTTCACTTAATATTCACATTATACACATGAATATACATTTGCACTAACCGTTATGAATGATTCTTTTGATACCAAAGGTCACAACCTTATTTGTTTCCCTTTGCAGGTATTCGAATACATTACAGTGCGTTTTCCCAATTACATTATGGCCGTCAACAGTTGTTATACAATCTCCAATTTTAATCTGCCCATTTAAATCTGCTATACCTCCAGGTACAAGACATGTAACTTTTATCTGAAATTAAGGAAAATAAACTACAAAGTAGAGACTTACTATTCAGTGAAACCAGCTTAAGGTGGCTGGGGTGTCTTAATTAAAATTGATAGAATGTTTTGATAATTTGACAAAATGAAGTTTTTATCATGCTTTTTTCAAAAATATAATAAAAAGTATGGGTCACCGAACTTTTTTTCACGCTAGAGGTTGTGCAAAATTGTCAGATTTTGTATAGATTATGCATGGAAAATAAAATTTTGTGAGATAAAAAGAAAACTACTTCATAGAACCTTAAGATAAAATGTGAGAAGATAGCTCTTATAAGATGCTTTCAGATAAGAAAAAGAAAAAATGGGGTCACCGAACTTGTTTTCTTGCTACATATCAAAATAGGTAAATTCACAACACTGGATATTATAAAAATTACTTTATCTGAGTTATCTCCCCTTATTTGACAAAATTGAAAAAAATTTAATCAAACACAAATAAGGTGTTTTTGAGAAATTACAGCCTTAATTATGATAAAACACACAATTTTCTATATTTACATCAAAAGTCTTTTACATAAGTTACATACTACTCTCAAAATTTGCACATTTCATGAAATATCTAGACCAACGTTATCTGCTACTTCGAAATCCAAGATGGAGGAAGACACCCGAGCCACTTTAATATTACAAAATACCAATGATTATTCATTTATATGGTTTAAGCTTCAGATGCGTACCATGAGATGATACATGCCAAGAGTGACCGTATGACCAGTAACTATTACTTGTCGTCATTCAGGTCCGTTCTGACAATAATGTTTCAACTCAGACTCAGAAACTGATGTACAAGTTAATAGGAAATTGACAGCATAATGGAAGGTTTAATATATTAATCATTTTCATCTTTATATTTGGAAAACAAATGGACTTAGTTTTAGTTGCATGATTTTTTTATTAGTTGTTATTGGCTTTGAACTAGTTGTCAGTTACTGTGAGTACTTTCAGATCTGTACTTACTATATATAGTGTCTTTTTGTTGTTGGGATGTACAAGTACATAGCCACGTCCACTCTGTGTTTTGTTAGATGTATTTCTAGTTGTATCCGTCTGATGAGTAAGGCTTTTTTTCAACTGATTTTTATAGTTTTTTCTTATGATGTACTGTTACGCTACTGTCCCAGGTTAGGGAAGGATAGGGCGCCCGCTAGCACGTTTAACCTTGCCACAATTTGTATGTGCCTGTCCCAAGTCAGGAGCCTGTAATTCAGTGGTTTTCGTTTGTGGCTGTGTTACATATTTGTTTTTCGTCCATTATTTTGTACATAAATTAGGCCGTTAGTTTTCTCGTTTGAATTGTTTTACAATTGTTTTCGGGGCCTTTTATAGCTGACTATGCGGTATGGGCTTTGCTCATTGTTGAAGGCCGAACGGTGACCTATAGTTGTTAATTTCTGTGTCGTTTGGTCTCTTGTGGGTAGTTGTCTCACTGGCAATCATACCACATCTTCTTTTTTATATTCAACCAAATTTCAGATTTCATTTTAACAGTTTGCTGATTTCTTCTAAACAAGAAATTCAAATTAAATTACAAAGCTTCTTTATTTCGTAAACTTTTTTTACTATACATTTCGACATTGACTTTGTTAGGTTTTTTTTTTTACTTCGATGGTATAAAAGGCTTCTAAATTCAGAAAGAAAGCGACAAAGCCAATTTCCTCAAGATAATTTTACGTACAGATCAAAATGGAAAAACTAACGAACTATTATAACAAGATAGCAAAAACCTGTTGATTGAACAAACTCAATCTTGTATTTAACAGTAATTTAGTGACAGAAATGATTCTTCTTTAGATTTAAAGTTGTACATGACCTACCTATATCTAATGGTTCTTTAAATATATATGACGACCCGATTGAAGTTTGTAAGAAATTTGCCATCATTGGGTAATTTTGTTGAAAACGAGTGAACGCTCAACTTGGCTAGTAACATTTGTATTAATATGTGAAGTCCTAATTCTCGTTTTCGAAACAAGAAAGAAACACATGACCTGTTGTTTTGACATAAGCAAAATGTAAAATATAATCACAGAAGAACTGTACACAAGAGTAAATACAAAAAAGATTTATCAAACTGGCATCCCAAAACAAAATCGACCGACCTGTGTTACCAAACTGCATCTATCATACATAAAGCCGGTAACAGGTTGTACAAATGTGCAGATACGTTTTTTTTTCGTAACGAAATTGATTTAAAAAATGTCTCTTGTTTCGTACAAGCATACTTATTGTAATAAATTGTGTTTTGTATGTTTGTTTGTTTGTTGGTGTCAACCGCCACTTTACTATCCTTGGTAATATAATTCGATTTCTTTTTGGTGTAGGAAGCCGGAGTCCCTGGAGAGAACAACCAACCCTCGGCAGGAAAAATGACAATTAAGTTCAGAGTCGAACATACTTCGCCACAAGCATGGGTCGACAATATCATGGTGTTTTAATAGCGATTTAACTATATTACAATGCCGATAACCATTTTGGAGTAAAACAATCGGTGAATTACATTTGCGCGCGTAAACGTCATTACGTTCAGTCGCAGCTTTTGATTGCATTTGCGCGCGTTCATTTTACAGGCAAATTATATTTATTTCATTATTTTTTTATTAAAACTATTTACAAGTACTCCCTCCGTTTGTCTAGTCCTCTGGTCACCAATGAGGAGGTTGAAGTAAGTTTCGAGCAGGATAAGTCCGTTTTATTATGCACAAGAATTAAATCATGGAAATAAATGCAAATAAAAGTGTAAAACATAGCAAATGAAGAGTAAAAGTACCGATTCTAATGTCGGTACAAGCTGATTATTTGAAGCCTACTGCTATAAGAAAATGCATTTTGTCAACTTCTTCATTCTGGTATTTTCGGAATTGAGCCAAATACTTTGTTTTCCCTTTCTTACTTCTACGCATAAGTGCTGGTGTACCTTCTTAGATTGCAAACCGAATGATATCCTCTTGCAATATTCACTATTAAATCACATGTATGCCTTAAGCGATTACGGGATTTCTCATACATGATCACTTAGTGTTTTTTTTCTAGAATTAGATATGAAAAATATATAATTTGAAATGATAAATATGTTCAAAAGCAATAACTTTCGACATATCTATTACGAATCATATTAATATTTGCCTACATTACCTGTACAAAGAATGCGCGCAAATGTGACAAATAGCTGCGCAATAAAATTTTTATCCCCAAATGCCCCATTACACAGTTGATTTCCAAAGAAGAGTGATGGGATTGAGGCAACAATCAAACATTCGCATTAAATGATGTACCCTTTTGTTGTTTCAATGCAAACTGTTGGGAAATTTTATGGAAACTTGAAATCCACAACCGTACCCACTGTTCTCTTATATTGAAAAATACAAATATGAACCTATTCAAGTACACTAAGATTTAGTGACTCATCACGAAGATTTTGGAGAATAAAGGCGAATAAAGATTTTCTTAAAAAACAGTAGCATACCATGAACAAATAACTGAGTTATGTCAAAAATCTGAACACGAAAATCGCTTTACCCAAGTTTAAATTTTCTGTAAAATCCTGGCAGAGTTCCCACAAATTTCAAATTTCTCTGATATTGCAATGATATGATAAATAGCATTTCTGTTAATAAAGTTTCCTCGTGGTATATGAAAAAAATGGCATGCCTATTTTGTATTTTTCTTCGCTGTTGTCATTATTGCAATTTAAATTTTTGTAAAACACTATGTTGGAGAAGGGTTCATAAACCTTAATAACGACGGTTGAATAATCATTATGTAATAACTGATTCCATGGAAAATACTTGTAGCAAAAATAACGAAAACTATTGTCAGTTATAGTATTTAGTAAACAATAGTACACAAATAAAAACTGAAGAGAGTCAGTCAGCCGAATTTCATCTAAAAAGCTATTGAAATTGATTGAAAGTCAACATCAAATGTAAAATATAAAAAACTCTCTTCTAATATTAACATAGTCTAATATTACTATAACTTGACACCGAGTATACCAAAGTTTCGTCTTAACTCCACTAACCTCTAGTTGTCCAGGAATTCCTCCATCAAATGCAAATCCAAATCCATCATCTTTTTTTACGAGAGTAACCATAAATTCATTAGCAGCATACTTGTTTAATTTACTGTTTTCATGTCTTAACTCAATAGAAGGTGACACTCTGGTGATTCTGTCGCATTTAAAAGCATTGTCCTTAGGCTTTAAATCACGAGTAACCTTTAAAGAATGCATTCTTTGATCCTTTTTGTGGCATTTTATCTTTCTTTTTTCCTGTCGAAAACTATCACTTTTACGATTTTTTACAGTATCCTGTTCTAGATTGGAATATGAAAGCGAATTCGGTCTTTCGTGACATTTGTCAGATGTTGTATTCATTTGATCTTTTCTGTAGTTGTGGTACTTAATAGTGTGTTTGCCATATGTTAACTCTATTGGTTCTCCATACAAATCGGAATTGTGCATATTATAGCAGTTTTTCTGAAGGAAAAAACATGTGTTTTGGATTGAACAATGTAACAACATAAAAAAATATGGTATGTGTAAATTCAGACGCTGATGTCTATATTTTGATGCAATTATTTCATTTCGATCTGTGATTTTCCTTGAATTCTAATAATTTTGTTAGCATATGCGTATTAAAATTCCTTCATATTTAGCAAAAGCAGTTCAAAATTAAATTGATTTAATTGTTAACTTAAATCCAATTTACAAATATACAAAAAATATCAATAAAACAATCAATTGTTTCTACCTTATTTATCAATATAATCATAAGAGATGGAGAAATAGATTAATCTCTCTCTCTCTCTCTCTCTCTCCACCCGTCCATCTATCCCATTCATCCATCCATCCATCAGTCTATCTGACATTGGCCTTGAACGACGTTCTTTCGGATCTGAACGAAGTCAATTGATCTGAAGTCCCGAAATATGGCATGAACTGGACTTTTTGAAAAGTTGTAATATATTTTTAAATGTTGATTGATTGTTGTCAGTTACGTACAGTGGCAAATATTTCATACACCTTCAGGACAAGAACAAACTACCAATGAATTCAATAGGCAGGTTGTAGGTAGATCGTAATATATGGGTCGAAATTTGAATGGCCACTATAAAAATACGGTTTATTGAATATGTAATGGCTGAAAACTATGTAAATGATTGCTTCACATTGGATGTAAAATGACGGTGGCCATGGGTGCTATAAACAAGCTTCGTGCGAAGATGGTCATGCCACCATATGACTTCTGTTTCTTAAATAGAATAATAAGTTACTTAAAATTATATCACACATAACTGTTTTGTCCAGGTTTATATTATGAAAAGTGGTAAATTAAGAAAATGTTAGTACATGTATTGTCGGCTATGGAGGAAAAATACTACCGTTTTCCCTAAAGACAGCAAAGGAACTAAACACCAATCAGATTTCAGTTATATTGCACTATTTTAAAGCTTTAAATTGGTACGTTTGATTTAAATTACCAAGAATAGAAATTATTCACCGAGAACAGTGTTGAGAAAAGTGCATCACGTTAAGTCAAATTAATGGGTACTGATATAAAACTGTATAGTAGGAATCCAATATAAGCTATATTGTATAAAATGCACCAAATAAAATTGAGAATGGAAATAGGGAATGTGTCGAGAGACAACAACCCGACCAAAGAACAAAAAGCAACAAGAAAGCTAACTCTAGTTCTTTTGTATTTGTTTAACCTTTCGCAATGATTGATTTAATTGGAAACACCAGAATTCAAGTCACGACAAATATTTTACTGAAATATTTCATTTTTTGGTTGTGTAACGTTTTAAGTATCATCGGGTATTTCCCAGGACATACTCTATTAAAATTGGAAAATGTTTGGTTTAGTTTGTACCGTTTACGGAGTCAATCAATATTTGGGCAAATTAGAAGCATTATCAGTGTTAAAGTGAAAAAAGGGGCTCAGTTGAGGAAAAATCTAGATAAATAGTTTATACTCTCCTGTGAAAAGAATTGTAAACATTCTTGCCAAATTCATGCCGCAAATGTTTCAATAGTGCTTCATTTTATAGTTTCTGTCTTTCATTATATCAAACATATCTAATTTCTAATTTTCTACTATTTGAAAGGACTACTTTTGGAAATCAGCTTTTTTTAGATGAATACAGGCACCAAAGGCAACTGTACAGTAGTGTTTTTCTATATTTGATGTTTTAAGTGTCCAACATTTTTGTATGCATCATCTGGAGACAGAATAATGAATTTTTTAACAAGCTACGACATTTTGGACTTAAACATGGCATATACTACAGTATAGAATGGTGATAAGTATGAAAAATCTTGAATTAGTGCTTAATATATGTTGTAAATTTTTGATAAAATGAATACAAATTGAATGGAACAGTATTTTTTATCTGTTTAAATGGTATTGTTTACTATTCTTTTTAAATAAGATAAGATTTGATTGGATACAGGTAGCCTAGCGTACCTTATCTTAAAGAAATACAGAAAGAGGTAAACTAAGGGTGGGGACATAAAACGATCCATGTTTCTATAAGTAATGGGGAACGGACAAGTAATCCTTAGAGCATATAGTTTCACAATAGCTCAGTATTGCATTGATGGTATTATACAAATTCTTTATATCTTTTTTATTAATAAAAAGGATTCTGTAAAATATAAAAAGTCATTAAAAATGAAATTTTAGATGATTATTTTTTTTAAGTTTTATAACTCAAACCAAAATAGAAATGGTTCATTTATGGAGAGTATATTGAGTTACGAGAGGAATTCATATATCTCGGTAAATTGTTGAATTTTAATGGTTTGCTGAGTACTACTACTTAGGAAATTTTGTCAGACCAAAGTAAAACAAAAAGCTGTATTTAATGTATTTAAGAAAAATTCAAGACGACTACTTTAATACAGAGGACCCCACTGTCTTTATTTGATACATATGTTTCAAGCATGGTGAATTATGGTAACAAAGTGAAGGGATATCATAAAGGTTTGAACATTGAAACTCTACAGTATCACTGTGTATCATCGCCACCGGAAATTGGATACTAACGAAGCGGAGAGAAATGGAAAAAAAAGTAAACAAGGTAATAATTCATTCAATTTAAAGCATTTCTACTAATTTGACGAAGGTTCCGCTTAAGAAATGATTTTCTGATATATAATTCTTTAAATTATTAGGCCGATAAGTACAAAATTAAGACAATATTTTGTGTTATACTCCAAATCTTGCCACTTAGTACCTGAAAATTTCGAGATCGATTGTCCTCTGTCGCCCCATTGGCAAGATATTCAACTGTTTTTCATTATTTTTCCAGACACGTTTTTAGATTATGATAGTGTGACATCATATTTACTGAAATCTGTTGTCATAAAGATGTTTTTTTAAAGAATATGGACCAAAACATTGTTTGTTTATTGTACGGCGAATTGCAGGACGTTGTACGGCGAATTGCAAACTAACAACTTTTGTCTGTACGGCGTCTTGCAATATATTGTAATTTAAAGATGAAATTAATCACTGTTTAGATAATATCAAGTGACGAAATTTTGGCTGTATCAAAGCTTTACCGGCTTACAAATATACAAATTTAACTACTTATCAATTATTATAAAATATATTCCGTTAATTTCGTTCAGAAGTCGTCGTTGCGTACCTCTATTTGACTTTGTGTTTTTAAAGACAAAAAGGTTTTTTTCAACCATATTATCCTAAATACATTCATATATATATATCGTTATACTACTAACGACTGTTGTCTTATTTGTTGTCAGGGTGAAATTTTGTAAGTTCAATAAAAAAAAACGACCATTCATCTTTTGTTGGCGCTGTTTTTTTTATTTAAATATAAACAGTGGAGATGTTGTATGATTGCAAATAAGATAACTATCCACCAGAGTCAAATAAAGTGTATGTAAGCAATCGTTTGGCCTTCAACAACGAAAAATCGTACCTTACAGTCGGCTTTAAAAAGCCCCGACATGAAAATTGTGGAAGGATTCAACAAGAAAACTAACGGCCTAACTCATAACAAAACAATTAACGAAAAATAACAAATATGATAGAGATGAACCAACGACAACCACCAAACTACAGGCTCGTGGCTTCGGACAGACACATAAAGAATATTAATGTGCTGGGTTAAATAGATATAGGAAGATGTGGTATGAGTGCCAATGAGACAACTCTCCATCCAAGTCACAATTTATAAAAGTAAACCGTTATAGGTCAAGGAACGGTCTTCAACATTGTTTATTGTTTATTTTTAAAATTTTTGAAATGAATAATTTGTTAAAAGAAAAGTGAAGAAAATACTTTGTTTTCATTGAAAATTAGGAGAAATAAATCATGAATTGTGTTTCGAATTAATTTTCTTGTTTCTTATTGAAAATAAGATTGTGTTTTTTTTTAGTTTAAGTAAATTCAATCAATCTTTTTATTTACAGGGAATTTTTTTTTTATAAAAGACTGTTGCTAAGGCTGTTTGGCCTAAAGTTAAATGAGTAGATGGCGGGGTAGTGAAAAGGAGTGTATTCGTCCGAATTTTCATTGTTACAGTAATACATTTTCATGATTACTATGTATAATATTTCTCAGTAATTTTTAATGTGATATTGTGCCAATTAAAATTATATGATTAATACAAGTAAGACTTGCATTTGCCTTAAAAGATATAGCAGTACGTGATTATTTGTTTTCAAACACACCTACTCTGTTTTGAAACTTATAAAGGTATGGATCTCGGCCTATCTGTTTGGTTGAATATAAATGTGAATTCATAGAGTTTCAACAGTAAGCCCTATTTTTGTGTGTGCGTAAATAATCTAATCTTTAGATAGATGCTAAAATTAAAATCACTTTTCTTAATACGAAGAAAAAAGTGCAACTTAAGCACGCCTGAATGTAAAAAGGTGTACCCGACTTATTCGTTCACGATAAGAATTTACCGATTTCGGTATTTTAACAAAACTGTTTACGAGGGCAAATAAATAAATGAACGCTATCAAATCAACATTTAAATTTACGTGGATTTTTCAAAAAGAATTTATGAGTATGCACCATCAGGATTCAAAAATATTTCAACCTGTCCTTATTAGATGTTATTTCTAATGAAATAACATCTAATAAGGACAGGTTGAAATTTAATTCTTTAAACTTACAAATCGAAGATGCTAGCTTTTGTGAATTGTATTACAAAAAAAAACTTCATATAAGGTCATCTTTATTCTCAATTAGAAAGTTTATATAAATAGTTTATGCCGTAGCCACAGCCGGATTTGTATCCATTGTATCGGATTCTTCTTTCATTCTTTCCAAAAATGATTAATCTATAAGGTTAATTTTTTTTAAAAATTTAAACAGTGTTAGCCACCGAGCTTGTTCATTTCTTACTATATAGAGATGAAGATTTTTTTTGAAAATTAATGTTCTTTATTCTAATATATTGGCTGTATCTGCCTTTTACAAATAAGACAAT